AGTCAGGATGGAAGTCGCTGGCCGGCTTGGGCGCTCTCAGTTTTCCTTTTCTTCCTCCTTACTTTGTTTTAAAGTGGATGCGAGGTTTATGAGCTGGCTGTTAAGTCCGAAGGGCCAAACCTAGAGTAGTGGGTTTGCAAGCTGGCGAAGTGCTCGCGGCAGCTGTTCTCCAGGGTGGTGTGCTGAGTAATGAGTAGTGCCTCCATCAGTTACCTGAAAGCCGTGCTCAGTAGGAGGAGAGCACCTGCTGTGCAGGCTATGGGAACCCATAGGCTCGTAGTGCAGCATCACTTCTGTGGCACATAGCTCCAGTCGTGCTCATGCGAACCCTTTTTCCCCTAAGGTGTGTTTGTGTGGTGTGTCTTGTTGTCTTTGTTTCTGCTTCCTTCCTTTCACCCAGTTAGGTGATTATCAAGCAGTGGAAGAGAGAGGATTGCAGAACATATTCTTGGGGCAGTGGGAACAGGGCTTGAGAACCACTGGGATAAAGTATCTGTGGCATTATCTTTTGCACATTCTTTTTCAGGTTTCTGCTCATTGGGAAAACCATTCTATTTGGAGCTATTACAGTTACGAGCAGAAGCCTTCAGCTCAGTTTCTTATGGCTGATATGCTGATAGCTCCAGGCCAGCCTTGAAAACAGTTCTGAGTAGCATAAATCATGGATCATACTACAGATTACAAATGAAGCCTAAAACATTGTATTTTAAGCCTCAGCATGAAGCATTTAACTATCACCTTATTTTCCAGAAGTGCTTAGGTTATGTCATTGAATTATCATTAACTGCCTCCTGTTTCTTCTTTGGTGTCAGTGCCTCGGTTCCTCTCTGTGTCCAGTGTCTGGTATTGTGTGGGAACAGAACAGCAAATGATGAACTTCATTATAAATGTGGGGTGTTACTGATCATACTAACATTATTAGTTTGTCTTGAATTTGTATGCTAGTGCTCAGTCTTTTCCTGTAGTTGCTATGTTGCTATTGTAGTAGGCCTGCTGCATGCACATGATGAAAGATAGTATCCAATATAAGTTTAAAAAAAAAAAAGATAGGCTAACATTTTAAGTTCTTGTAACTAAAGAAAGCTACTGTACAATATCCAATCCATCAATTTGGAATACTACAGAATCCACAGACTTCTTGCAGAACATAAGGCCTATATACATCATATGGGTTGGACTTGACTGAAATCTCCTTCTGTGACTGCAGTGCAGGAGGCAACTGGATTCAAATGCAACAAACTTAGCTAAATTCCTTCTGTCTGGTTTCCTTCTCTCTCTCTCTCTCTCTCTCTCTCTTTTTTTTTTTTTTGGTATAAAATAATACGAAGCCTTAGTTAAGTCAGTAGGAACTTTGGTATTTTTTGGCTGGATCTACCATTTCATTCTTTATGATCTTTTCTTGTGAAGACTTGTGTGGCAAGTAGGATTTTATTCCATGTTGTTTTAATGTAGTATCATTTCTTTCACTGTGAGGATTTCTTATAAAATAATATTTGAGGAATGAGTCTAACTTAATGTAGACTTGATTAAAAATATAATTTGTTGTATTTAATGTAATCTTAAGGTGGTTTTAAGCAACTTAAACTTTTTTAATGTTACAAATGTTACATAGTGTTTATAAGGTTTGATAAGTAAATTTATTGCATTTTCCAGAACATATGACAGCTGTGAAGTACATCCAGGACCCAACTTGAACATGATCATAGATGCTAATGGAACAGGAAAATCAAGCATTGTTTGTGCTATCTGCCTGGGACTGGCTGAAAAACCTTCTTTTATAGGGCAAGCTGATAAGGTGAGTACAAACTTTTATAATGTTGATGTTTAATCTGAATTTCATTGAGGCCCAGTTCAGCAGAAGGAGAAAAGATCATTGATTTGTTTTTTTCTTTTTCTTTTTTTTTAAATAAAATGTAAGGTGTCTGAATTGTAGAATAACCCTGGTCCAGGGGCAAGAGCTTTTACCAAAGGGATGGCCTTACTTAACTGCTTGTCGTCTTGGCTGAATTGTAAGATGGAAACATCTGAATTCTACTGGAACCTTAGTAGACTAGGTGTTACGTTTTGAAGACATCTAGGCCTCCATAGTGAGGTAAGAAAATGCCTCCTGTTGCATAAGTAACATTCAAACAAGAATGCCAACTAAACTTAAGGTAAAACTAGAATTAAGTCTAACATACGTTTGGAAATTTATAGGATCAGTAAAAGAAAGATGTCATTGATGTGTCTGAGAATTTATCTAAAAGCCTGGAGTTGCAAATTTTTGATTTAAATGCAAGCTGGGTGATTTTGGGATAAGTGTTCCTATTATTTTCAATAGGACTATCACTTTTACTCCCAAGAGATAATGTGCTGACATCACAGTAGGAATTTCATTTGCATTGTCAGATTTTTAAGTTTTTCCTCTTGCTTTTTTGGATGTTCTGGTTACATGGAATATGTTTCACTAGAACTTTGGAGCACTAAATCTGGGTACTTAAATGATCTTACATATTCTCCAGTTACAGCTCAGTCTTGAGCAAATGTAAATATAGAAATTGTCTGCATGGCAGCACTGTATGTTGGTGTTGTTTATTGGCCTTTCATATTTATATATATTTTTTACACTGTTAGAATTAACATTTGGCAATGTTTTTCATTTGCATTGCTTCTATTCCCTGAATTCATGGAAACTCCTGCCTCTCTGTAGATCCTTTAGTTATAAATTTGTTCAGTGTTGGAGGTTGAAATTGGTCAGGAATTGCTAATTTGTGGAGGAGGGGCTAGTACTGCTAGTTAATGAAGAAATTAATAGTGTCTTCCTTTATTACTAGCTATTGTTAATAGGCAGATAAAATAAATTCTACTTTTTAACTGTCAATTTTCAGTAAAAATATTCCATTACATGAACTGTATTATACAAATGCATATTTTTGTAAGAAATTACATTTTAAGTAACTGTTAATTTGCAATAATAATGTCTATAACTCATTTTGTAGGTTGGTCTCTTTGTAAAGCGGGGGTGCTTGAAAGGTGTAGTAGAAATTGAACTTTAAGTAGTAAAATTATATTTCCTCATGCATTTGTAATTAGATTATTTCCCCACACAGTCAGTCACAAAGCTATTTAAAAAGATCTAGTGTACTGAGGTCTGCCTTTAAGCAGGTTCTTTTTTCCAGACATCAACATTTTAAGCTTAAAAACCTGTCTCCCAAGAAACGATCAGTGATTGCAGGTTCTGATTTTTCACTTTCTGAAACATTTTGCCTTGTATTGGTGTACAAAGAATGTATAGAGAAAGAATGACTTATGTGGTGTGTTTAGCTTTTGATTATATTTAAGGTTCAGATTCAGATACGGTCGGTACTACCATTATGATGTAGTGGTTGGTTTTAAAAAAGGGTCTCTGAAAGTTTGAAATTCTAAAACCAAATGTTCTGCTTGTGCTTTCTCATATCGATACTGCTGATTTGAGGGGCTCATCTACATTCTTACTGAAAAAATCACTTACTGAAGTAAAATGGAAGGGAAAAAAAAGTAGATCTAGCTAATTTGAACTAATGCAATCTTCTAGATAAACTTTCACAGGACAGAGCAACTGAAACACCATTTGGACTTAGTCTGTAAAATTATATCAGGTATTTCTGAAAATGTTGATTTTGTGTGCTTGAATGTAATTAAATGCTGTAATATAGGAATCTAATTTTCCTGTTTCTATTTTTAGGAATAATGTAGTCTGTGTTAAGTGAGAGGTGATTTTTGAATAAAGACATCCCTAGTTTTCATTGAACTGTGGAGCTATTTTATTCTGAAGATTCAGATTTTATGATACCTCAAAGGTCCAGGTCCCTCTGAATGGCAGCACAGCCCTCTGGTGTCTCAGCCCCTCCCCCCAGTTTAGTATCATCAGCAAACTTGCTGAGGGGGCACTCTGTCCCTTCCTCCAGGTCACTGAGGAATACATTGAACAAGACTGGACCCAGCACTGACCCCTGGGGGACACCGCTAGCTACAGGCCTCCAACTAGACTCTGCGCCACCGACCACAACCCTAAAGGTAGTACTAAGGTAGTACTTCTTTCTGGGAGGCTGAACCTGTGTTACCTGTAATACACTGTGATATTAATTGAAAAGTCTGGAGAGAGACTTGTGGCATGTGGAAACTTAACTGTAATGGTTGCAATGCATGCATTTTATTTTCTTTCTTTTTTTTTTCTTTAATGCCTTAAAAAAATCTCATCTAAAAACATATTTATCTGTATATCAGATGGTAGAAATAAGCAATGATTTTTTTCACTGAAACAAAAATGTCCTACAAAGAGCTTCCTTCTCTAATTATTACCCGCTGTACGAGTTGGACTCTCATTCAGTCCTTTGTCTAATTTAGTCCTTTGTCTAATTGGTAGAAAGTATTTAAATGGAAGGTATGGTATGGGGAAAACAATGATGTATAAGAGTACTTGCTGATGGGAATTTTGATATCTTTTAAAATTTGACTTGTATAAGCATGCACTGTCCTGGGTGAATTTAGTCCTTGGATTGTAACTAAACTCAAGTGTTACAATAGTAAAAAGTTGTTGATTGTTAAAAGGAAAGAACATGGTTTCATAGGTGTTTTGAATGAGATGATGGTTGTTTGTGAGGAAATAGTTAATCATATAGTCTTCAAGAAGTAGGTTCATATCCTTATGGCACTTGTTCCAAACACTGAAATCTTCTCACTTCTATTTTTAATTCTGTTCTTAAGTCTCCTAAAGTACATGGCCTCCAAAATGTCTCCTAAGCCTCGTCTTCCCTCTTTAACAGTATGCTAACTGAATAGGTACTAGACAAATTTCCAAGCCAAAGCGGTGACCAAAGTTTCTGGAGTGTATGACCACCTCATTAGTTGTTTGTTATTGATCCGTCTTAATCCCAACTAAATTTTTGAAGATGTGTGTTGAACTAGAGAACTAAAAATGGACATCAGGACAACTGATATATTTTTGCTGTTCTTTAAAAGCAGAAAATGAAAATAAATTAGTATTTTTCATACTGTATGATATTGGTTTTGTTTCCAGATGGAACCTATATATGCAGTTTATTAATGGAGTTCTGTACACTAACACTTTTAACTTCAAAGGCATAGTGGTGTTGTGCACCTTCTGTATATCAATTTTAAAACCTACTAAATGTCATATATAAAAATATATATTTGTATATATTCTATTCACATCTGTAACAATTTAGAATGGTTACATTCATACATTCAGCATGAGTATGTCACTTATATGAATAACTTCTTCTAAGTTAAGATTTGCAGATATTCTTGAGACTTTCTACAAGACTTCTATGAGATTTTCTACCGGAAACATGGCAAGAATAATTCATCATTGAAGTACTGGGCATTATCTAAAACATAGATAGTAGTGGCAGATTCAGATTCTAGTTGTTTTATAGTAAACATTCAGATACCTTAGAGTTTTTAATACAATAACTCTTTAACATATTTTGTTGATATTAAGTAATCTTTATGTGCTCTGAAAAGTGTAAATGCTCCTTTTATTATCAGGTCCAAGACACCTAACAATATCATTATCACACAGGAGATTCAAGTGGCGAACAACACATCAACATGGTTTATCAACAGAAAGCCATCAACCCTGAAAACGATAGAAGAGCAGATTGCATCCTTAAATATCCAAGTGGGCAATTTGTGCCAGTTTCTTCCTCAGGTATGAAAGAATTTTGAAAGACAGTGGATGCCAATGGAGCACTGTATTTTGAGAGGGTTTTGCAGCTTCTAATTGCTGCATCTTGCAGCACTTCTGCAATTTAATGGGACCACAAAAAGAATGAGAGGGAGGAGGTAGCCATACTGGTGTGATGGTGAAAGAAAGAAGGAACTGTGTGACCTTTTCAGGCTCGCTACTTAGACAGTTTTGTACATGCTGTCAGTTGAATCACAGAATCACAGAATCGTTTAGGTTGGAAGGGACCTCTGGAGATCATCTAGTCCAACCTCCCAACCTCCCCAGTTGAGACTGAGAGGAAAGCTGCTGATGTTCCCTATGTTGTTGCTTGGGTAGCAACACTGACAGTGGTGTCTCTCAGTCCCACTACTTCTGCTGTAGGTGTTTTTAGATAACAAATTGAAGGGAAATTTGTATGGTCTTGAGGTCTCCCAGCACCTTCTCTGGGCCTTTATCTGCATGGCTTCTGCAGTCCTGCATGGCTGATTTTTCCCAGTTTCTGCATGTGCTTCTCACTAATTATATCCAGTCAGTTCCTCAGGGTTAGATCCTGTGCTTGGTAACTGAAGAGGAAGAGTTGTCTAGATTTATTTCTCCAAAAAGCAAAAAATGAAGGCAATTCTATTAAATGACCCTGCAGCTGCAACAGGGCCTGCTACTACAGCCCTGTTGGTTAACTTTTGTGGCTCAACAGTTTTTTGAGAATAGGGTAGAATTTTAAGGTATTCAGGATCAGGATTATGTAAAAGTAAAATTATCCGGATGGAAATAGCTCCTAAGGGAGGGAGAAGACTAAAGAATGCTACATACTGCTTTTGTAGCTGAATCCATCCCTCCATGGTCAGACAAGTTAGGGCTTCTGTGCAGATAGCAAAGTTGCCTCACAATTGCATCTTAACGTTATGATGGGTTCCTTCCTGAGTCCTTCCCAGTTCGTGTGATTCATCAAAGATGGTAGTAAAATGAGACCTTATCAGAGCTTAGCCAAGCGTGTATTTGCCCTTCTGTTCAAGGAGAAAAGCATTCAAGAAGACATGCCAAAAAAGTTAAAATTTAGAAATTCAGAAAGTGTGGAAACAACTGTATTTTCTCATCTTACATATTTACAATATTTGTTCAGAGCAGAACTTTCTGCAGACTCCACCAACGTAACTCTTGTATATAAAATAGCTTTTTTTTTTTTTTTAGTACATAAACATCAGTTTAATGATGATATCCTTGGCTGACAGGCTTAATCTTAACTTTCACATTACTTAATTTTTGAGTTAATCATAGCATTTATACTGGAAAGGTGTGACCTCAACAGCCTGAGAACCAACATGAGGAATACAGTGGAATAAAATCTGAAATTATCTGAACTATCTTGTTCAGAAAAACGATAGCGAATTGAAAAAACAAACAAGCATCCCCCCACAACAACTACCTCAAAAGCTGCCACCAAAGCCAAACAGCTGAGGATAAGAACAACTAAGGTTTAAGCTTAAATTAGGCCAGAACAGCTCCAACAAAACCATGTATGAAATCCCTATGAATGTTTAAGAGGGTCAGGTTGCTGCTTTATAAGATGGTCATGCTATGCTTAACTTTCAGAGCTGTCTGGCATGGAACTGTAAATCAGGTGCTATTGATGAGAAGTAGTTTGCTCTATTTAAATCCAGCATTGTTGTATTGCGCTATTCTAACTAATACTGCATTTTTATAACTTTTTATTTTGTAGGACAAAGTTGGAGAATTTGCAAAACTGAATAAGATTGAGTTGCTTGAAGCCACTGAAAAACCTATTGGTCCTCCAGAAATGTACCAATTTCACTGTGAACTGAAAAACTTTAGAGAAAAAGAAAGAGAACTGGAGGTAAACGTGCCTGTTATAGAGACACAGAGAAGTAACTGTAGGAAAATTAGCATAATAAAATTTAATGTGAGATCTTACGGAAAGGTATTTATTTACTAAGTATGTAAATAAGTTGATTTTATCCACTCATGCTCATCTTCTCTCAGATTTCATTCACTCACACACTCACATACTCGCAAGCACTAAAACATATCTGTCCAAGTGGTCTGGACACAGATGACAAAAGATGTCTGTTGTCAAGTCCTCATTGCTTCTCTGGGATTCTTGATTGGTAATAACAAACTGTTTTCTGGACAGATCTTTTATACCCATCAGCTGTTATGGGGTGGTCCTTTGCCTCAATCTTGCTGACTTCGGCTTCCATAAATTTTGGATGAGATTGCTGCCCATTGTCCGTTTTTCCTTGTTTGGAATATAACAGATGGGCTAACAGGAAAAGGCCTGGTGTATGTGATGTGCTGCAACCTTGTTGCCTTCCTCCTGGTGTAAGGAGGCAGGGTCTTTCTCTGACTGTCACCTATGCTGCGGTCTTACCAGAACGCAGGCTTTTTGATCTTGACAAAAATGATGTGTTCCTTAGTTTTACTGCTGGGAGCAGTGTCCTTCGTTATCTGTACAAGCCATTCTTATAATCCTTTGTTCTGCTGTTTCTTCTTGTGCCTATGAACATGCATGTATTTTCATTCATACGTACTGCCAACCTTAATGTTTCTGTTACAAATCTCTACAAGATCTTTCATAATGATTTTTGCTACTTGTATTCAGCAGAATCAGTTAAAGTTGTTTAAAAACTTCTAGATTAATGGAGGTTTGAGCTGTGGGAATAACTTCATCGTAAAATGTATAAGCTTTTTTTAAAAGGTTTTCTTCAGATTAAGACTGCTGTTTAATGTGCTGTCGCAGAAAGTATGTGTACTTTTCAAGTACCATAAAGGTACTTGAAAAAAATGGGCATCTATTCTTAATTGGATTGTTACCCTCTAATTACTGCTGTACTAAAACATCCTCTGTAGGATGGTTAATGTACAGGTGAGGTATGGGTTATTTCTAAAAAGTGTTTTCACAGAGTAGATACTGTAAAATATGAAAATATGTGTTCTTACAGAACTTGTGCAAAGAGAAAAGTAATTCTTTGGAGAAAATGAGACAGAGGATTGAACGATAAAAACAAGATGTTGAGAGATACCATGAACGCAAGCGTCATCTAGACTTAATTGAGATGCTTGAGAGGAAAAGACCTTGGGTGGTAAACTTTTATTTTATTTTCAGTGTTTCTCTAATGTAACCAATTTTTCCTAAAACTGCAGTATTAGTAATATGTCAGCAGTTTCTTTGAAAGAAACTTGACCAGAGCAGCTTGAACATGATCAGAATTGCTTGGTGCAAACAGGACAGATCTTG